TTAAAATGAAAAGAGATGACAACCAATTAATTATTAATCATGAGATAATCTATCAATGCTATTATTTTCTACAAGTGTTATCATTGATATGAATAAGTATCATTCTATGGAATGTGCACTGGGATTGATTATTTAAATATTCATGTATGGAAGTAATTAAATACTTAGTTTTGTTAATAATTCCATAATTAACTGCTTACCTTTTTATGAAGTTACCACAAGATAGACGATCAATTAGTTGCCGAAAAATCTCAGATTGTAATTTCAAATAATTTGAGTTTTTAAATTTTGGTAATAGTAATATCAATTTTAAGATACTAAGAAGAGACAGGAATCTTAACATTTCATCAGAATATGGAGATTAAAATAGTATAAATTTGCATAAAGATAATTGCAATTAAATGCTTTCGGATGATTTCAGCTTGTCCAGAAGGTGAAGTGCTAATAGCAGGTGAATGTTTGGAACAAGTTGAACCAGGTGATCTTTGTGTAGACGACAAACAATGCTTAGGTGGTTCGATATGTAAAGAAGGCATTTGTGAATGTCACAGCGGTCATGTCATTTACCGTGGAAAATGTATTGTAAAAGTAGCAAAAGCTGTAATAAAATGTTCGATTACAAGTCAAGTACCATATCGTGAGAAAGGGTCCAACAAGGTTACTTTCCTAGCTTTTTTAAATTTTGACCCTTGTCATTAACAATAATTACTTGTTCAAAAAATTTCCTTAGACTGGATTCGTTTATCGTAAGTTGATAAGTTAAGAAAAGAATATTATTGAATGAAAAATATTGCAGCAATTAATTAACAAACATGTCAAATAGTTTTATCTTGTACAATGACACTTTGAGTGACATTTTTTAAAAAATTCATTTTGCTCATTAAAAAAACGAAGCCTGGTTTAATTCTATACTTTCAAAGTTTATCACTCAAATATAGCTAATTTATGAATGAGTATTTAGCAATATGTATTTGTTGTGATATGTGTTATGAAACAATGCATTTTCACAGCTCTATTAGTTTCTTCTAATTTTCAGGTGCGATATTGTTCAATCTCGAAGAATAATTGCCCAAAAGGATACAGTTGTCAGTACAGTCGCGATGCTGAACGAAATATCTGTTGTGGTCATTCAAGTACCAGTATTACTGGTAGAAGAAGTAGTAGTAAACCAACAAATGCTCGAAGACGTCTAAAGGTTATCACTGATGTTTGCGAAAATGGCATACCGTATATCCTGAAGGAAATGCCACAAACCTGTACTGCAATACCTTGCCCGACTGGGTTCGACTGTATTTTTTCCAAAAAAGCACAAAACTACTTCTGTTGCAAAAGGAAAATCAAAGAAGGCATGCTAATTTCATTCTTCTTATGCTATTAATTAATTAATTGATAACTATCAACAAAATCTATCTGCTATGTCATGCTTTCCTCGTTGTAGATGTAAAAAGCACTCATCAAGTAACAATATACAAATTTAATAAAATTGTTAAATTAGACAGATTTTTCAGCAGAATCTAGTAAAATCTATTCGAAAAATTTTAGATTTTAATTTAAATCATGACATTGCAGATATACAACATGATGATTGTCCTTCCGGAACAGCACTTCTTTTTCCAGCAACTGGAACACCATTACAGTGTGACAGTGCAAAACAAAGTTCGTGTCCTAGCGGTTACCGTTGTCTTAGGACTATCAAAAATAGCGGATATCAGTGCTGCACCTTACCTGCTTTCCATTCACTCAAGGAAGAATTTGCAGTTTATAATCCTATTTCAAGTAATATTTTCGCAGTTATATAATTTCCGAATCATTTTGTAAAGTATGGTCTTCAGGAAATATCAATTTCAATATTTTCAGAAAACTGAAAAAAAAAAAACTTGAGACATTTTTATTTTCATAGAAATTTTGTATGACCACTAAGTCAAAGCCTCATCTGTTGGATTAAATGAATTTTATACGATACACAGCATTATTCGCAAATGACATCAAAGTGTTATCATGCTTACATTCACAAGAATGTATTATAGCACCAGTTTATATGATGTAAAAAAAAGCTTAATAAATGACTGAAAATAAAAAATGCACAAGAATTTCTAATGTCTTCATTTTAGGGTTCTACGAAACCTGGATCAATGCGATACCTTGTCCAGGTAATCAAGTTCAAGTGAAACGGTTAGTGAATGGTCAATATTTAGACTTTTGTGAAGATCGTTGTCCAGCTCATCAAATTCCAGTTAATGGTTTTTGTAAAAGTCAAGCCGAATTTCCTATAGAAATGAAATGAAGTCAAGAACATCGCCATGATTACTCGAAGGCATGCGTTTGACGTTCTCATCACCACTTATAAACATTCCAATTCCTAATCCTACTAACAATTGATACTTCTAGCTTTTCAAAATTTCATTTGCCTATATTTAAATAAAAGAATGCAGAGACCATATCCTCCTTGAGGATTGATTCATGAATTTCCTTGAAACTTGCTACATGATCTCGATCATTCATTCTCTCTTTATATGATATGTTGGCATCACTAGTCAATAGAAGTTTGCGAAGCAATCATTCATCGTCACATGTATTCACTAACTTTTTGTTTTGTTACTTGTTGGTTTATCTCATTTTTTTTAAACAAATTTTAAAAAAAAGAATGAACAATGTAAATATCACATTCAGAGTATAAGGAAATTCAAGCTTAGTTCAGCGAAATATCTGATTTTGAGGGAGCAAAAGAGCACTTAGCCTCCGTAGTTCACGAAGATTAAGATTTGTTTAAGGGAGTTTCACTTCAAAATAGTCCAAGTTAAGAGGTTCTCGGTGAACAACTATTAAATAATACCTGTTTGCTGAGTTTACAATAAACTGATGTGCGCGACTAATGACTGCAATAACACCGATTTTGTCGACAACCTTGACGGCAATGTCTATAAAAATAATCCTTCAGTTATTGCGAAAATGTCTGGCACATTTGAAATATTTTATGTGCCCATAATTTTTTATAGCGGCTTCAACTGTGATTTTTTTTCTTTGGGTATGAAAATTTTATTAGTTGTAGTAAACAAATCCCATTACTCGTCGCAATTAAGGCACTCGCTATTTCCGAGTTCTGAAGTTGCAATACTTTCATTTCATTTGATTATTTTAAAATTTCAAACAAGAAATGAGATAACCTGGTGTAAGAGCACTAATTGAGGTCTGAATGGTAGATAAATTACAGATTATACAGAATGAAATTCTAAGAAGTGCAATGCTTACAAGTGGTAGACAAGTAGACAAACAAATACAAACGTAAGATTATAGCAATGTAGCCATTGTGGTATAATGATAAAGCCATCATCACCCATATCCTGTTTCAGTGAAGCCCTGAAATCGTCTAAATCTCGCTGGAAACTTTTGGCACTCCTTTCCATACTTCAATTTTCTTTTTTTTTTTTAATTTCGGAGATAAGTGGCCTGTTTTAATTGCCTCGACTGCATGGCTTTTCTTAAAAATCCTCGAAACCTATAGATAATCTCAAAGAAAAAGTATGCTTTACGTTTCCTTTACCTATTTATAAAAAACATTAACGACTATATCTACAGCACCGACTTAATGAAAGAACAATAAACTGTTATGCTTTCACTTTATTGATTTTGCATTTTTTAGAGCATAGATAAACCACAGTAGTATGATTATTTCGCTGATAGTTCAACTTACCCATTGTAACTGATGTTGAAATTTAATATGTTCAAGCAAACATTACAAGATAATAAAATATGAAATTAGATGATAGTAAACAGTGCGTACAACAGTATGACAGCTACTTTTTATTTGGTCCAAATCATCATTTGATCTGAATCTTGACTGATACCATATTACTTTTATCGCCACACAATGTTGAAAAAAAGGAATACTGCATGCTTGGCTATCAGTTGTTATCATCATTCAAATGATATTTGTCCACTGTTACTTCCAAATGAGCAATAGCTTTAAGGATATGTTCCATTCCAATTGATAACGTATACTCACGAAATTTACTGCACTGTGAATTTACAACGAAACCGATCTTTTGGAAAAGCTTTAAACTGCTAACATTATCATTTGAAATCTTCACTTCAAAAGCCCGTAACCCGATCACTTGAAACGCAAACCTTAGCATCATTCGTACTGCCTCTTCACCTAAACCTTTACGACGCCATTTAGATTCAGCAATCATAGTTGTAAGTTCTCCAGTGCTACCGTTTATGAAGATATTGACGTCACCTACCATACCAGCGATCTGGAAAATAATCTTGAGGGCTGAAATTTACGGTAGCTGAAATAAGTGACAAAATCTGACTTACATATTCAGTACCTCACAAAACATTTAGCATTCATGAAAGTTTCGTCCCTTCAAGTTATGCAAGGATTACGTTTAAAGTTAGTTCACCTCATCAGCACCACTATCAATCAGATCACGAGCTAGGACGATAAAAGTGCACTTGTCCTCATCTTCATGCCATCTTGCTTGCATTTCGTATTCCTCCTCAAGCGATAAACGTTCCGACGCTGTCAACCTCCGTAATTCTTCATCCTGAAATTGAAATTTTCACATCGAGCCGGTAATTACTTTCAACTGTATGCACTTCAGCGCTAACATTCTGGAACATACAGAGCAATGCATCATACCTCCATCCACGTGTGGTACTTAGCCACGTGACATTTACAATAAGGTACCAGAATTACTCTTTGGCCAATAATCTTCGTATGTTCGTTAATATGCATAACTGAAATTCCAACAATTGATTTGGAAAGAGTCGTGATTGAAGAAATGTGCAGGACGACCCGTAAAATTTCTCCAGATGATATGCCCGAGCTGGGAATTGCCTTTGGCGGGAGAGATAAGAAGTGGATGATTTGAAGGTATGCTTTGTTCATGTTCAGCGGAAACTCTTTTAGATCCTTTCTGTCCCGATAGTTTCTGGCTGACCTCATTGCTCTAAAGTTCTTCTGAACTCTTCGATTTTCTCTGATAAGTGTCATCATGGAAGGAAATATTGCTCCATAATATATCAATTATGAAGCGAAATTGGAAAATTTTCATTACAGTGATACTCTAATTCCAGAGTGATTCCAAGTACTTTTTTTTAGAGGTTACTCGAACATAAAATCACAACGACTTACTAGTATTCATGGAATCACCAGAGGAGGAAGCAGATGCAGATGTTACTGCTGGTGCATCTTTCACTCTTCATGGCAATTTCAAAAGCAAGTTAAACGTTGTCACTCAATTATACGCTAATTCATAATGCACAATACAAGATTGATGAGATTCTTGAAACTTTTATATACTTTGATGTGAAAAGATGATATGAAAAGTCTTTGGACGCTTTTGAGATTGCCGCTTTGGCATTTTAGTTTCATTGAAATTCGAGTTCATTCTTTTATATGGTTATGAATTTTTCACATATCTCAGTATTTGCTCGTGCAATTTTGGCATTAAATCGTGTTGGCAATGAATTGTACATGGAACCAAGTGATTTCGGTGTAAGTTTATTGAATATCTTAATAAGACAAGATGATCGTTAAAATTTTCAGGAAAGCAATTAACGTAACTTGAATTTTTGAAACGGGAAGTATCCAACCATCAATTAGTTGCTAAAATAATGTTATTTCAGCTTATTTTACGGTCGTTGAGCTGTTCAAAATCAGCCTTTGGTACTTTTATGTTTTCCAAATCATTCTTCAGTGAATGTGATGTGTTGCGACTTGATCCAAATGCTTACAATGTTTGCCGAATTCCAATGAAGGTTTTTGTTTTAGCTTTTCTGAATAAATGAACGAAGTAATTTCATCGTAACCCTGACGAGGTGTAGTTTCAACTTTTTCGAAGTATATTGGTGATGCTTTTTTTTTTTGCTTTCTGCACAATTTGCTATTTAGTGTGCTTTGTCAGCCTTCAAATGTGTAAAAAGTTCTGAAAAAGCAGTTCTTTCCTGTCAGCTTCATCTCAATCCTCGGGCCGATGCCATGCTTATTCAGATCACACATAGCTATGGTTTGTTAGATTTTATATTGCGCAGCAGTAATCAGTGATTTTTACGTACCTTTCCACTTTCGTCCATCACATCATGCTTTATGCATACGAAAAAAACAAAGATTACTTTGATCATTCAAAGTATGACTCGACTAATGATGCAGTTATATTCAGCAATTTTACGCATGTAGTAGTAGTATTTCAGATGTAGTGAAAAATCATAAAATACCATTCTTCGAATGCGCCACCATGTTTCGAACCGTTGTCGATAAAGCGAATTTGAATAATTGTTTTGTTATACAAGCAAGGTTATTTAATTTCATAATATGGAAGTTTGCATTATGTAAATTTTACAAATTCCGTTGTATAACAAATTGAATAGTTTCGAAAAATCTTATTTTGTTAGATTGTTGCTCGAAATGTTCAATCGAATGCATCACAACACGGATGAAATTTCAATTGATGCTAAAATTGACGAAATATTATTCAGAAATTATATTACACACGAACAAGGTTGTTTTCAGTCTACTTGTTCTTCTATTGGCTGTACCGACTATTATATTACCATTTTATGTAAAGTAATAATGTTGGTTATGATCGCTTCCTTTTCATATTTACTAAAGCTTTCGATTCCTGAAAATTTCCAGTCGTATTTCTTTTCGTATCTTCGAGATATTAAACATTCTACTTCATATGATATTCTGTCAGGTGAACTCGAAGATTTTTATTCATGCTTTCTTGACAAGCATGGTAAATAGGAGACAATCATCATGAATATATATTAACAGTGAATTGAATTGGTCTTTTCTTTACAGCATTTACCTTATCTGTGCTATTTCCTTTCAGTTTGAATTTTATTAGTTCTTCAGTATTTAATGGATTACTATGTTTCAGATAGAGATATGGTCATGAAAACCGAGGGAAAAATTCCAATTGCTGAATTTCAGAAGTATAATATCCAGCGACCAACCGAAATTACTGTGAATTTAAAGGAACTGAAAGCTATTGTAAATTTTGCTGATGTTCATCAGTCACTTGTCAGCATTTATTTCGACCTTCCAGGAACGTAAGCTCAAACCATTTTTTATACCTTTAGATACGAGCTTATCTTAAAGCAAGATAATATTCATGGAAGAATTAGAAATGAGAAAGAAGAAATGAAAATGTGTAGCTTTTAGATGATGCTGTGTAAAGGAAGAAATTTTCAGACCTATAGTAATAGCTTTGGAAGATGATGTCAATTACACAGCTGAAGTAATACTTGCAACAGCTGTGGATGATCCTGCAGGTTATGACTTGAATTCGGAAGTTCCTGTTGAAATTGTTCATGTCCCAGCTGAAGAAGGACAGCTTAAGCGGAAGCGAAGTCAGTCTTCGTTAAATCCGCATCTCTCAGGAAGTTTGGTAGCAGATTGTACGGTGGCAAGAAAACGAATCATTGAGGCATCAAGTGCCAGAAATAATAATGTAGATGAAAGGTTAAATGGAGCAGGAAACATAGATTTTGTTATTGGTCCACCATGCGCAACTTCTTCTCCCATCAGGTGACAGATTGTGCTTGTTTGGAATATATTGTTTTCAGTGCGTCTCCCCAAAATCGGAAAAAAATACTGTAAAGTTGAGGAATCGTCTTTTTTTTTTTTCAAATCAGTTCTTATGTTTTTTCATTGTTCTGTGAATATTTTGCCGGTTAACTCTCAATTTTTCATGTAAACTGAAATTTACTATGCATTATCCATTACCTGGTATTTTATAGCAAAGCATCACCGGGAAAAAAGGGAGAAAATAGCACATTGGCAGAGATTCTAAAACTACAGGACGAGGCGATGGATACCGAGAACAATGTAGCAGAAACTTCGAGAAAGAATGCCGATGTTGGTAGTGTTAGGGGATGTGGATCAGAAAGCCCGCCTTCCCGAGGCCCAGCTGTAAGTTTTTTAGTTTAATGGTTCGTAACTTTTAGCATGAAAGTTTTCGCACCGTATGAGCAATTCTGATATTTACTCGACAAGTTATGAATGTATATCTGTGTTATCTCACTTCTTGCATGGAACGTCATCCATCTTTTCAGCTCTTTCGCTATTTATTTTCACTTGATGAGCCAACATTTGATTCGACAGAATTTTCCCGTGACACAGAAGTTTTGGCTTCAGATTCAGGTTCGGAAACTTCAGGTCTGCACCCTGAACAATATATTTTTGACTCTGACTCAGAACCCAATGCTTCGTGACTGCTTGCTCACATCATGTCTAAAATCTTGAAGAATTGATCTCATGAAATGCAGTTCAGTTCTTGACATTGATTTGTAATAAGGAGCATTGTTGTGTTGTAATTTAATTATTTAAAATTAGCTCTGTGTTCTCTGAGGCTGACTTATTCATTTCGATCAGAAATAAATAAGTGGAAATTCGTTTCCGGTTGTTATGCTCACTTAATTTTTTTTCGTAATATTCTACTTTGTCTTAAGATTACTCGGTTTAACCTTGTGTCATATCATACGAAATTTTTTTTTCCGAAATTGGACCCTCCCATCTACTTAGGAATTTTGTATATATGTATAAATGGTATACAGATTTAATAATATTCATCTCTCCAGTCATTTTACTGTCATATCTGTTATATCTCGATAACTGCTTATTTTACTTTCACTTCACTTACCTTTATTTTACTATTCGTTCTTTTTTTTGCTTTGCATTATTGAATTTTCAAAATGAATGAAATAAAATTTTCTGTTCAAACAAAAAAAGTGGAGCATGAAAAGTTTGTTGATTCTCTGAAATAATTTTTGAAATGAGTTAAATATTGCAACTGGATGATTTAGTTGCGAATTGCGAATTGTTACCTTAAGGACAGTTAATTCATGCATGATGGATTAATGTCAAATCACCTTATCAAGTGCTTTATTTTCCTGCAACAAAATGTGAATGAATTATATATGTATGAGATACGACGAGTTTCTTTGTGTATACGATTGAGGACAAGTTTAGTTTGTCAGAAGTTTTTTAATTTATTGTTTCGGTTCTATGTCTCGTTCAAAATACTGCTTGGTTTCTTTAATTGAGCTAGGATAAAACTGGGTTGTATATAATTTCGTTTATTTTCTTCATTCTATTGTTTGCTAGAGAGCGATAACATGAGTATGAGGTAATAGCACTTATTTGTTTAAGTGTTTAGTAGTTTCTTAAGAGTTGGAAAGATATTTTTGCACCCTTAATGGTGAATACAGTAGTCCGCAGGCAAGCTCATGCAAATTATTTAAAGTTTTTATAAAATCTTTTTTTGATTGTTTCTAAACACGATGAAGCAGGGCTTTATCTCAAAAGCAATGAGTAAGTTGACAATAGGAATAAATATAGAAGTTTCGATTCTTTGTATCTTTTATCGAATCATCTGTACAATCTCTGCTTATATAAATATACCAGTGTTTCTTTGTAAATTTTGTTGATGTGTACACACAGTTGTTCCTGAATCAGAACTGGTCTTGTATTATCAGCTGTTATTGATGCTATTTTCCTGAGATTAATGAGAACGTTTCGGTAGAAGTACATGCAGGAATTATTCATCATCCAAAGGATAAAGCTAGACAAGCTCAATATTATGATGACTATATGACGAGATTTTTGTGCATTTTCAAGCACGCTAGACAAGTTATTTCTCTTCCATATATGACCTTTGTTAATTTGTTAGATTTAAGGATTGCTTCCGAACTCTTATCTATTGTCATTTATCATTTTTGCTATTTCTGTGCAATGACTGCTGCCTGTTATTAACATCGCTTTGATCGAAAGTTGCCCGTCAATGATTACAGTTTTCTTCCCAGTTCATTTTAGAATACATATAATGTGTTTTGGAATGTGTATTTTGTAAAAGTAGCAGAACTTTCCTAACGTTCAATGCGATTCTTTCACTGTTGATAGCAACAATCAACATTAGACACAGTCGGGCATCAACATATCGAAGTCATTCAACCGGTTATTTTAATCCACTTGTCGGATAGACTACTGTGAAAAACCATACCGGAAATTGTCAACAAACATAGTATCCAGAAAATCGAGGGGAAGGACTGAAATTGATAGTGTCACAATTCTTCGAAAAAGAAGGATTTTAATTGGTTAGAACTTTACTGATGATTAAAATGCGTAAAGAAGTGAGGGAGAAACTATTAATTACTCTAAAATTTATTGTTAAAACTAGGACTATCCGGTGAGGAAGTAAGAACAGTGGAATGAGCTATAGCTTGCCAATTGATTGAAATAAAAAAATTGGACAGAAAGAAGGAAACAGGCAATGTTCGCCATTTGAGAATTGCCCTATTACATCGGAAAAGAAGTACTTTCTCTATGAGTTTGTATAGCTTCATTCAGAGTGAATTGACAAAAATTTTGGCTTTATGCTAAAAAAAGAACGGTTTAAATTATCAAAAGGTCTGCCGCAGCTGTCATAAAAATCTTATATCTCTATTATTTATTTTTGGTATTTTAACGAAATTCTGTGGCAATTAGAACAGATTTGTTGATAGTATTAAAAGTGCCGACATACTTAATATTTGGATGATTTCTTAAAATGTACTACAGCTCCACTGACTGCTATACGCGCATCTTATCGGATTTTTTTTTTCTTTTTCTATTTATTTATTTTATTTTTTTGAAGCGGATTATAGATGTGTTAAGAGATCTCCATGCAGTTATCGTTGTTTTATAGACTTTACAATATTTATCACGGATAAATGTTGTCGACAATAAAAGCATAAAAGCATAGGAGCTGTTGTAATGGCAAGTCTGCTGCAATCACAAGCTAATTAGCGAAAATTATTTGGAAGGCTTATTTCCTACAGGCTTTTCGTAAAATTTGCAAAATTAATTATTTTCAATTTACTTAATTGAAGTTCACTGAAATGCATGAAAATACAGCTTATTAAGTTTGCTGTCTACATCTAAAGTCAATAGCTAACTTGCTTACTTAGCACGAGTGGAAATATTCATTCAGTCAAGAGATGAAGATGTTTCACAGAATAAATCAGTTAACCGCGTTAAGTTTCAGTTTCTACCAGCTCTTTTTTCGGATGAGCGGTGTTTCCTGTTTTCTCTTTTTCTTCCCTTTTCTTTTTTTTTCAACTTGGATCTCATTTACAGTCGTTCTTGGATTTCACCGATGGGCTTTGTTGAATTAGTCCCTGCTTGTGTGTCTCTATTTTTAAAGGTTTAGGTTTTTTAAAAGTTATTTTTCGATCATTTAAACGTCTTATATGATAAAAAGCCATTCGTTACTGTGTTTTTATCCAAAAAAGGATGTTTTGGGATTCTACAAGTATTTCTTATCGGTTAAACAGAGATGTGAAGTAGTTTAATTTGCATTTTTTGTTTGGCTTCCTGTAGAGGACTATCATTTTTATGTGATTTTCCCCTTTATAATCTTGAGAAGTCTGGTTTTCCGTTCTTTCTTTTCAAAGCGAAAAGAAAAAAAGAAGATTTTATGGATTTTATGTAGGAATTGTTTAAAGACATGTTATAAGAGATGTAATTGCTTCGTTAAATTTTTTTTCTCTCCCTTCCCAACAAGGAATGGGACATTGGATTGAGAAGCTCAAGGTTGAGCGTTGAATGGATAAAATGATATTGTGTTGTTGGATAGCCATCGTTAGTGAGCATTTGGATAAATTAGTTATGAAAAATTAGTTATTGATATTTTGAATGAAGTTGTTCGGAACATTTCCAATAGCAATATTCTTTTTTATTTTGGTGACATTATCGGATTAGAGCAATGACCAAAGAATATTTCAGTATCGTATTTACTTCTATTTTTTTATTCAAAAACTATAATTTTGCTCACAGGATAGCTGCATTAAAAGGTTGTTTCAAAATTGAATAATAATTATTACGGCTGGATGAGAAGTTTTACGTTGCAAAAAGATTTCTAAGGAAAAAGACGTGTTGCTTCTCGTGCAATATTTGTCTTTATTTTGTTTGGTGAAAAAAAAATGTGAAAAGGCAAAGAAAAAAAAAGGAATGATTGCTGTGACAGATCGTTGTGTAGTCAAAGTATAGCATCCGTAGATAATAGATTTGCATTAGAGAAGGAGGGTAAGGGAAGTTGAAAAGCAAGTGTATATTTGCATTTGCCTCAAATTGCTTCGAATGCATGAGACTTATCACCTTATTGCCCGATAACCATCTTGCGTATATTGCTGTCTATCAAAGCGAATAGTATAATCAAATCTTACATAAGATGATTGGTTACATTACTGTATTTGCTATTAACTTTTATTGTTTACATTGCTAGTCGAGTAAGCACTACCAATATGCACCTGTCAACATTGATCAATTACTTTATAACTGTCAATTTTTTAAATAAACATATCAAGGCAAAATAATTTAGAAGAACTGATTGCTTTATTTCATATAATAGAATGACTTATTACTGTATAGTGAGCAATGAGTCCATTACTAATTACTTTGATACATCATTGCGTATATTTCATGAGGTGAGTCAACGTCTTTTTATGTCAACATTTATGAATAGCGGAATTCTTTCACCCAATTGATAAAATATTTAGGAAATGCCTGGTTAGTCATTCACTGTAAAATAAGCGATTTGTACAATGGATTGTGCAAGATATGAATAAGTTAGTTTGACATTGGGTAACGTGGAATAGGTTTAAAAAACATTTTTAATGTGCATTATGATGTAATTCTTGTCATAATGATTGTGATAATAAATTAGACACTATTGTTGCTATCACTATGACAGGTGCAATCATTTATTTAATAGTTCCGTTGCTGTGAGAATGCCGAAGTACTCGTCTATTATTATTCAACATGGTTCCAGTCTTTTCATTTCTTGAAAATGTCTATTATTAAGGTTTGTTACTATACAGCAGCGCATTTAATACGTCAATTTAACTAAATGTCAGCAGCAATTGAACTTATCACTGTAATTGGCAGTTGAAACTTCTCGTAGTACATTTCTCGAAAATACTGTCACCATTTACTGTCACTTGTTTTGCTTGAATATCAATATTAGACAAGAGGAAGGAAGGGGAGAGCAAGCAGGGAAAAGGATGATTGTGATGTGTCGTTACCAGCTGTGGCTCCCGCGGGGTTCAAACGAATTTTTCAATTTAATACACGGTTAGTTTCAACCAGACAGCGTACAGAGAAGGAAGAGAGAGGAGGAAGGGAAGGGTAGGGAGCTATTGGAGTCTTGTGATGTATGTTGGTGATGGTGGTAATGGCATCCATACTTTTCGATATCATCGTAACTAACCCTTTCTTTATCTCCTTCCTCTTTCTGTCCATTCTTCT